TTTCTTCACCCGAGAGGTCTTCCGCGAGACCTCTCGGAGCTGCCGGTCTTCTACCAGGACCTTCTCCGGACCTGGAAGCTGTTCTCGGCGACCAGGTCCACTGTGGCCACCGAGGGCGAGGATCTCCTCGCGGAGCCCCTGCTGCACAATCCCGATCTCCGTGTGCAGGTGGCGGAGTCACCCTCAGTGAGCCGGAGGTTGGTCCTGGCGGAAACCACCAGGGTCGGAGACCTCCTGGACTACACCAGAGGGGACTGGGTGGATCCCCGCACGCTTGGTCGGCGCATGGGGCTCTCCACCCTTACGACCCCTCTGCGTGTACTCCAGGAGGTGGGTGCTGCATTGTCACCTCCCGCTCTCGACTTCCTGTGGCGGGCCCTGCGGGAAGGCGCTCCCCGCCCACCCCTCACCCCGGGCCCTCCGGATCTTTTTATCGGGCCCCTGTCCCGTGAGCCCCCCCGACTCCCCCGATCCCATAACCCAAGCCGGCTGCACGCTTTGCAGCCGGTCCGGTTTCGAACCGCGCCCAGAGACCATCTGTACACGCTCGTGCTCCACACGTTGCATCTCCTCACCCTCGTGTCCCGGCCTTACACCAAATGGCGGGACTATCTGATACCCGTGGAGGGTGAGGAGCCCCGGTGGGCTAGTCTTTATTCCACCTTAGTTCCAAGACCCGCCGGGGATATTGGTTGGCGGCTCCTTCACGGAGCCGTGAGCACGGGTGTGTACCTAGCGCGGTTCACCCCCATTTCCGAGGCCTGCCCATTTTGCGGCCTACGGGAGACCCTGGCGCACGCATACCTCGAGTGCGCCAGGTTGCAGCCCCTGTTCCGTCTCCTCCAGAACCTCTTGTTGAGGTTCTGGCTGCACTTTTCCCCACACCTGTTTATTTATGCACACCCTATCCGTGGCCCCACGAAGTCGCGAGACCTCCTCGTCAACCTCTTCCTGGCCCTAGCTAAGCTCACCATCTATAATACCAGGGAGAAGATGTTGGACGAGGGGGTGCTCTGCGACTGTGGGGCCTACTTCCGTAATTTTTTGGTTTCACGTCTCCGGGCGGAGTTCCACTGGGCAGCGTCCGCTGGCTCCCTTACCACCTTTGAGGAGCAGTGGGCGCTGTCCGGGGTTCTTTGCTCGGTGTCCCCATTTGGTTCCCTGATTTTGAACCTTTAACCGTCACCTCACTCCCTGTTTTTTTATCAGTTGTCCCAAGGAATTACTTGGTTTCTGGGTCCAGTGGTCCCTCCCGCTAGGCTGGGGGAGGGGCCTTTAGCAGTGGGCGGGTAAGCCCGCCCACCTCCCGGTCAACCAATATGGCCTCACTACAGGTGCTCAGGTACAACAGTGAGGAGCCCAGATAAATCCCAGAGACAGATACAGGGGCAGCTGCCATTTTGTGAGGCAGAGTGCACAAAGTCCATGGCAGGCAAGACACATTCTCCGCTCCCTCAAGAAGATGTTACTGTCTTGGTTTGCTGCTTTTCTTTTATTCTGACTCTGTTTAGGCATCTCCTTTTTAGGCTTTCTGCTGCCTTCCTGTTTGAAATGATCAGCACAGACCCAATTTCAAATACACTGCCATCTACAATCCACCCTGGTAGTTTCGAGGCATGTGCTCTTCAGCCTTTGCAGCCTGCGGTCCAAACATGTTATTTCACGCAGGTCAAGGAGGACACAGTCAGTGCTTTAGGGCAGATCCTCTGCCCTGTTCTGCTCACTTTGCACTGGGCCAGCGGCACAAAGGGAGCAAAACCCACCCACAAGTCCCATGCAGAAGGTGTAGAAGCAGCATAGCTCCCACACCCAAGGCCGGTGCAACCACTAGGCGAACTAGGCCGTCGCCTAGGGCGCCAAGTGGTTGGGGGCACCAAAAAGCAGTGCCCTGGCTCGTCAGGAGGAGCCGCCTTCAGGAGACACCGGAAAGCCAGAGGGTCCCACTTGTGGCGGCGGCAAGCCCCAGCCATGGAGGAGCCGGCACGGCGCAGGGGAGCAGCAGCCCTGCAAAGGCAGCGGCACCACTAGCGGGGAGCAGCTGTGTCCCCCGCCCCTCCTGCCCAGGCTGCGGCCCGGCGCACCCCCCCCCCCCCGGGGGCTCCTGCAGGCTGCAGATTCATGCGGGCGGCGGCCCCCGTGCGCCTCCCCAGCTCTCCCCTCGCCACGCTAAGGCTCTGCGGCTTCCGTGCGTGTGAGCCGCCACCGCCGCTGCCCCTCCCGTAGCAGGCTCAGGGCCCCGCGCCCCAGCGGCGGCGACTCACATGCCCGGGAGCCGCAGAGCCCAAGCGTGGTGAGGGGGGAGCCGGGGGGCTCATGGGGGCAGGCGCCCGCATGCATCCGCTGCAGCCTGCAGGAGCCCCGGGGGGAGGGAGCGGGGCGCAGCCTGGGCAGGAGGGGCGGGGGACACGGCTGCAGTGGCCCAAGCCTGGCAAAGCCAGTGAGTGGACTCGGGGCGGGGGCGGGTGGGGTGGGGAGGGCTCGCGGGGGGGGGCTGTGCACCCTCCCGGGGAGTTCAGGGGGTGGGGAGGGGGGAACCTGGTCTGGGGAGCAGCCCCCAGGCACGGCTGGCCCCTGGGGTCTATAAAGGCTTGTTGGGATTTGCCCCTCAACGAACCGATGTGCAGGGGAGACGGGGGGGGCGCAATGTGGAAGTTTTGCCTAGGGCGCAAAATATCCTTGTACCGGCCCTGCCCATACCTCCTTTCCTCATAATCTCTGGCACAGAGGTGGTGTTGGAAGTGAAGGGGAGACTGGCTGGGGTAGGATGCTCTCTACTATCCCAGCTAATAATGAGTCCTAAGGGGCACATTGTCAGACGGTTCAGTTTGAGTTGCCCTCAAACTGCTCTAATCTGGGCTGGGGCAAAGGATCAGGGAGCCATGACTGGATGTTGGTTCTCAACTTCTCCTCCTTTCTCCCCCTTTCCTGAGCTGCTCTGGATGGCAGCATGCATAGGAGCTCCCCTAGAGTCAGGCAGAGCCAGCCAAGCTCCCATCCTACTCTCCTTGCAGCTCCCACACCCAAGCAGGGAATGCAATGGAGACAGGGCCGGCTCTAGCTTTTTTGCCGCCCCAAGCAGCGGGAAAAAAAAGAAAAACCCGATTGAGCTGCTTCCGAAGTGCCGCCGAAGACTGCAGCAGCGCGATTGAGTTGCCGCCAAAGTTCCGCCGCAGACCCGGACGTGCCGCCCCAATAACGGATGGAGTGCCGCCCCTTTCTATTGGCCACCCCAGGCACCTGCTTCCTTCACTGGTGCCTGGAGCCGGCCCTGAATGGAGAAGCCAGAGCTGCTCTCCTCCCTCCTGTGATACTGCTGGCAGACAGCAGGGGAGCTGCTTTGCAGCTGCACCAGGTAAGGCCCAGTGAACTCTCAGGGGGCTCCCAGCAGAGCTGCTGTAGGGGAAGCCATGGGGAGGGAGACAGGGAGGCCAGGCACAGCACCAGATCTGATTCAGACACTTCAGTTCCTGCATAGAGGGGCTGGCCCAGAAAGCACACTGCCAATTTGTAACCAAACCTCCACTATCTTCTTAACACTGTTGCCTTTGAAGGCCTCAGTTCAGAGACTTGAGGGCAACCAGTGGCCCCTGGGCTATGGTTGGACAACCTTGCTCTGCAAAATGGTTAAAAAAAGCCCCAAAACATTAACATCAGCTTCTTCAGTACAAAATAAGCAAACAAGGGAAACAGATAATCCTTACTAGGGGCAATGAAATATGGGTGGGCAGTTTGCACAGTATGCAGGAGGAAGAGTAAGATGCAACACAGTCAGCCACCAACCCAACACAAATGCACGCATACATCATCAGTAAGGCTATGTTTTAGTCATGGGTATTTTTAATAAAAGTCATGAGCAGGTCATGGGCAATAAACAAAAATTCACGGCCTGTGACCTGTCCATGACTTGTACTATATACCCCTAACTAAAACTTAGGCTGGGTGCCATGGGTGCTGGGGGGACAGCCCAGGGGGCACCGCAGGTGGCGGGGGGGGGGGTATCCCGGGTCCCCTGCTGGTGCTGGGGTGGGCAGGTGGTAGCGCGTGGCCCGGGACTTCCACTGGTGCTGGGAGGGAGGGTTTCCAGGGCCAGCAGGCTCCTCCCCCGGCTCTGCACAGTTCCCCAGAAGCAACTCCTAGGGGGAGGAAAGACCAGGGGAGCTCCGTGCGCTGCCCCCGCCACGAGTGCAGGCTCCACAGCTCTCATTGGCTGAGAACTGCAGCCAGTGGGAGCTGCAGGGGTGCTGCCTGCAAGCAGAGGCAGCGTGCAGAGCTCCCTGGCCCCTCTGCCTAGGAGCTGCAGGGACATGCTGGCCGTGTCCGGGGAGCCCCCCCGACGTCAGCACCACTCTGCACCCCAACCCCCTGCCCCAGTCCTGAGCCCCCTCCCACACCCAAACTACTGCTGCTGCTAGGGGGAGGGGTGTGTGGTGGCCCGAGATTGCCCCAGCAGCGGCGAGTGCGGCTGGCCCAGGATCTGCCCAAGCTGCTTGGGGTTGGACTAGATGACCTCCTGAGGTCCCTTCCAACCCTGATATTCTCTGATGCGATTGGCTTAAAATCATGAGATTACAAAAACAATATATTTGAGGTTCTTTTTGTTTGTCTTCTGGTTTCTGATTCTTTAGAAGGCTTGACCTTTTCTAGCTTTCCTCTACAACCCCCTGCCCCACACCAGAGGGTAGGACCCCCATCCAGCCTGCCTGCAGCATGAGAGTCCCCCGGGCCCGTCCAATCTCACCCCACCCCGCTCTGCCTCAGTTGGTAGGATGGAGCCGTCCTCCAATCCCACCCCATCCTGCCCCACCCCATGGGGAAGGACTGGGCGGAGTCGCCGTGGCCCGCCCATTCCGCATCGCAGGTCCGGGCCCCTCCTGGTTTCCATGGTGACCGGAGGAGGACGCGCGGAGTAACGTGAGGCAGGCGGAAGCGGAAGCAGGCGGCCGGGCGAGGGCCGCCGGGCGGGCGCTGAGGAGAACAGAGCGGGTCGGTGCCCGGCCGCCATGCCCAGCCCCCGGAGCAGCCCGTCCCGCCGCGCCGCGCCCATCCCCAGCCCGTCCCGCCGAGCCGCGCCCATCCCCAGCCCGTCCCGCCGAGCCGCGCCTGGCCCCAGCCCGTCCTGCGCGGCCGTGGCGCTGCGCTCCCTGCTGGCCGCCGACCTGCGGTTCTCCCGGCAGCTGGGCGTGTGCGCCGGGGAGCGCTCGGCCTGGGGCAGCGCCAGGCCCCTCCTGCGGCTCCTCGAGGTGTCCGGCCACGGCGTGCCCTGGCTGGCGGGCACCCTGTATGGGCTGGGCCGCAGCGAGAGCCCGGCGGGCCGCGAGGTGCTGCTCAACCTGCTCTTCGGTGAGGGGCCGGGGGTGGGGGCGCCTCTCCCCTCTCATCACGGCTGGCTCGGGGCCCAGGCTCATCAGAGCAGCGGGCAGGGGAGAGGCTGAGTCACACATCCCTGTCACCCGCCCTGAGAGCTGCTTCCCAAGAGCCCAGGCCGGGCCAGCGCTGCCAAGCTGGGGCAAGTCACCAGCAGGGCAAATCCCAGCCAGCGCTGATCTGTGCTGGGATCCCAGCCATGCCACTCTTCTGCCAGCTTCCCAGGGCCCTGCCTCTCTCTGCCCCAGTGCAGGGGCTGTGCTCAGCACGGCGCAACCAGTGTGCCATGCAACCCCGGCCCCACGGGGATCTGCCAAAGCTGCTGCCACAGTGACCGCTTCAGCAAGCTGGCTGCCAGCTCTTCCTGCATCTACATGGTTCCCTCACCATGGCAGAGTCCTACCAGAGGGGCCAGTCTAGGGATTCTGACTCATGATCAGTTCAGGCAAATGTCCCTTCAGTCATCCTAGGGAAACAGCACTTTTGGGGCGATCCTGGACATGCTTGGGATGAGATGTCAGTTTTCTGCAGAGGTGGCACATGCTTTCTTCTGTTTCTATGAAACAGCTGTTCTGCCATATCTTGGCAGGTTCTGATCATCTAGATTTATATGGCCATAGTGCTGTGAGCTAAGGTACACCTGAATCCCCCAGCTGGAAATCCTAACCTTCGATGGGGAGTCCAGCTTGCAGGGTTTCTGGAAGTGGCTTAAGTGGATGAATTTAGTATTTATGAAAGTAATTGAAGCACTAATAGTGCAGCTGCCTACAGCTCAGCATGTAATCATAGTCTTGGTTGAGTCACTCAGTTGTGCCAATGCACCTGAATCCTAGCCTTCAGCATGCCCTGGTATTACAGCTTCCAGACCCTCCCAGTTGGAGACTGCCTTTCATCCCAAACTATGTGGTGTTTTTGCAATGCCTGCAAACCACTTTCATCATCACTTTATTGCCCATTTAGTTTTTAGTAGCAGCAGCCCAGGAGCTGATGCCAGCTGCCTATAGCTCAGCATGTAATCACAGTTAAGGGAAGGCTACGTTTTAGTCAGAGATATTTTTAGTGAAAGTCATGGAGAGGTCACGGGCAGTAAACAAAAATTCATGGCCCATGACCTGTCCATGACTTGTACTGTATACCCCTAACTAAAACTTGGGCTGATGAAGTTCTGGGGTGGGGCAGGCTGTGGGTGCTGTGGGTGCTAGGGCGGTTGTCTGGGACCCCCACTATTGCTGGGCAGGAGGCGGGTGGCAACACGTGGCATGGGACCCCCGCTGGTGCTGGAGAGTTGGCGGGGCTGACAGGCTCCCTACCCACCTCTGCGCAGCTCCCTGGAAGTGGCTGGCATGTCCCTGCAGCTCCTAGAGGGAGGGAAGGCCAGGGGGGCTCAGCGCATTGCTCCCGCCACTAGCGCTGGCTCCGCCACTCCCATTGGCCAGGAACCTCCATCAATGGGAGCTGTGGGGATGGTACCTGCAGGCAGGGGCAGTGCACAGAACTGGCCCCTCTGCCTAGGAGCTGCAGGGAAATGGGGGGAGGGATAGCTCAGTGGTTACCATATCTTGTGTTACCGTATCCTCTGATTCAGAGTTGGTTTGAGCATTGGCCTGTTAAACCCAGCATTGTGAGTTCAATCCTTGAGGGGGCCGCTTAGGGATCTGGGGCAAAATCAGTACTTGGTCCTGCTAGTGAAGGCAGGGGGCTGGACTTAATGGCCTTTTGGGGTCCCTTCCAGTTCTATGAGATAGGTATATTTCCATATATTATTATTAAAGTTCCAGAATACAGGTCACAAGGTCATTCTCTTGCTTTCAAGCTAGCAGGGACACAGAGGCTCATGCTGGCTGAAGAAGCCAGAAGGTCAAACTCTCCATGGAATAGCCCAGGTTCTCTGATGGTATCTGCGGTGGGACTTCTGAAGGAGGGAAGGAAGAGCGGGAATGAAGAGGATCTCAGGGTGGGAGAAGAGGTGTTCTCTACATATAAACCATCCTATCCTGGCAACTCTTGGCCTGCCAAAGATTGATATTGAAAATGAGCTGTTTTCTGTTGGTCTTAAATGTGCATTGTAATGTGTAAGTATGAATCTAGAGTTAGGAAAGGAGGTAACAGTTTAGAACGGGAATCCTTTCATCCCTTCTGAAAAAGGGATTTGTGGAAGCCCAGAGTTGAATGGTGGGCGGAAATGTTCCACAGAGGAGAAAAGCACTGGGGCACAATGAGCCAGATCTTCAGCTGGTGTAAATTGATGACACTCCCTTGACTTTGAAGGAGCTAGGCTGACTTACACTGGCTGACAATCTGGCCCAGTGAGTTTGGAGGCTACCTGTGGAAAAGCAAAGGGCATGGTACTGCAGCAAGCCCTAGGTGGCACTAGGATAGCTGTAGGTACACACAGATATACAGATAGCCAGGAAACCTATGCTATATTCTGCCCACATATGTGTTTTCATCATGAGATGGAGTTGGTGGTCATCCTAAATATTTTGTTTGCTTATTACTTTGACTCTCGGTTTCAGTAGCAGCATTATTTATCCCTGGGTTATTTTTGGTTAACTTCTATGACACACGACATGGAAAATGACCCCTTTGTATTTGTCTCCTAGCTTTGGTGCTGGATTTAGTCCTGGTGGCGGTGGTGAAAGGGCTCGTGAGGAGAAGACGTCCCACTCACAACAAGATGGACATGTTTGTCACTATCTCAGTGGACAAATATTCCTTCCCATCAGGCCATGCTACCAGAGCTGCCATGGTGTGCAGATTTGTCCTGCACCACCTGGTGCTCGCCATTCCTCTGCGGGTCCTGGTGGTTCTATGGGCCATCATTGTGGGTATCTCCAGAGTCATGCTGGGCAGACACAACGTGACAGATGTGGCCTTTGGTTTCATCATGGGCTACATGCAGTACAATGTGGTGAAATACTTCTGGCTGTCACCCCTTAGTGCACCTGCTCTCTTTGCAGTGTGGAATCAGTGATGGCCATCATGAAAAGGAAGAGGCACACATTGCAGTGTCTTATGCTGCGTAGAGAGCGTGAACCGGGACTGAATGAAAGAATCATCGTAAGCCTCATCTGACAAGCAAGACTGACAATATCAGCAACATCATGCTTCATTCTGTGGGATATGTGGACTCAGGTGGGACAAAACGAGATCTGTTGGAAAGCTATTCTTGGTGCCATCTTGCTCTCAATGTGCTGCTGGGCCAAAGCATGTACCAGCCCATACGGTTGCACTGACCATCCCAGGATACGATCACTCCACATCTCCTGGTGCTGTAGAAGTTGGACGGAGATCTGCACACTAGCCAAGCAGCTAATTCTTATTTTCTTGGTATTTAAGAACATGCATCAGTAAGATTTGTGGTTAGTAGAAATACTGTAAATCAGCACACAGCAGAGGATGCCTGTAGTGTAACCGGCTTACTATCTCATATAGCATAAATAGTAGATGTAACTTCTTACAAATATTGTTAGATAGGGACAGTTTTCAGCAAGTAACTATGTGCTGCAAATATACTGATTGGTGCTGTTGTGGCTGATTAATAGTGGGTGTGCCCCCTAGTGGCTTTAGTACATTATTCTGACTCGTGGGGTGGATGCACTTCCTCTGCTGCCTCTTCTATAATGTTGAGATTACAAAGGTTTTGTAAATCGATTCTTTCTCCTTCTGAAGCAGCCTGCCCCTCGCTTGCCAGCCACATTCCAGTTACAGAGCCTCACTTTGTCAAGTGGGTGGCTTGTTGGAAAGGTGAAGGCATCTGGTTTTGAATACCTTGGGAATTGGCAATTTTGGGAGTGGAAATGCACAAATAGGGTTTTAATAAAGTGTGGAATGAATAACCTGGGCTCTGGGGTGTCTGTACCAGCTCTCCTTTAGGCAGGATGCAGTTTGTCACTGCTCTCCTAGCAGCTGGGTAAGCAGAGCTCCCATTCATGTATTCTTCTGTCATCAGAGCAGGGCGTTCGAGCAGTTACTCCCCCTTACCTCTCAGTTAAAAGGCAGACAACATGCAAACAGTTAATGCCATATGAGAACATGTAATGTAGAGTTTTTAGGTCTTTAAAAATAAATAAGCTCCATGGAGATCCTGATCTGGGGTATGTAGGCCCCAATTCAGCAAGAGGCTTCAACACGTGAGCCTGTGACTAGTCCCATTGATTTCCATGGGATTATTCATGTTCTAAAACTTCAGCACATTGGTTATAGCACTGCTGTCCACTACAGAAAAAAAAAAATCAAAATTACAGTAGAAATGACATGCGCCAAACTATGTTTTGTTATTTTTCTCCATTGTATGAAACTGATTGTAGCTGAGCAAAATCAGTTCTATAATAAATGGAGCTCTACACTTGGTGAGACAAATAGGAAAGAACATAAATGTTGTCATGTAGAATGGCGATGAAAAAGCAATCAACAAAGTAGCCAAAGAGGCAGAAAATAAATTCTTTAGCTAGAGCACTGGGTGGAAGTCCCTCTGGGTCTGATAGGCCTCCAACAAGGAAAAGCTATTCAAATAGTTTCTTTGCATAGCCAATGAGGAGGAAATACCCACTAGATAGTTATTCTTTTGGGGTTGTGGAGGGAAGGCACTGTGTCTGAATTGAAAAAAGAAATTGCAGAACTACTTGAGAAATTAAATTCCTATGGGCATATTGTATTCATGCAGGAGGTCTGGTGGAAAGAAAAAACTAAGGTCACTTAAAAAAAAAAAAAAAAAAAAAAAGTGCCATGCAGTGTAATGTGTATGCTTAAAACCAATTACTACACCAGGAGTACTAATGATCTATTCCAGTATGGCAATTCCTGTTTTCCTAAGCAGCTGAGAGATGTACAGATGAAGGGTGTGTGTGTGTGGGGGGGGGAAATATTAAAGTAAAAATAACAAATCTGTGATCTAGCTCTTCATTCTTCCAGTACATCAGTCATGTGGCCTTGAAGATGTACATGTGTAGGAATGTGTGGAGAACTGTCTTGTCCTTCTGAATCTAATATAAAGGATGTCTGACCACAAAGGTGTATTATCCCACAGAGTTACCTCAAGAGAGGAGCCAGTAAAGCATTCTAATATCTCAGAATGCATCATATGGTAAACATATTTTGCAATAGAAACAAGACTTCTGAGCTTTGGGAGTTAGTATCTAGCCTGATGACTTTGTGGTGTTAGGTTGTGTAAAAAGTCTTCAGGTTGAAGGTGAGCAACAGTGCTCTTGCCTAAAAGGTAAAGATTGTGACAGGGGAGAGGATATGGGTGCTATTGCCCTTGTTCAAGAAGGATGAATTCAGACTGGAGTAGATGCACAGAAGGGCTACTAGGATAATCAGGGGAATGGAGAGCCTGTCTTAGACGAGGAGACTAACGGCACATCTTCACTACGGACCTAAATCAGCGCTGTTGCAATCGACGCAGCGGCATCAATTTAACGGGTCTGGTGAAGACGTGTTAAATCGATGGGAGAGTGCACTTCCATTGATTTCTGTGCTTCACCTCCCCAAGAAGCGTAAGGTAAGTTGGCGGGAGACCATCTCCCGTCGACACAGCGCGGTGTAGACACCGCAGTATGTGGATCTAGCTACGTCGACTTCAGTTACGTTATTCACATAACTGAAGTATCATAGCTTAGATTGATTTACCATGGTATTGCAGACCAAGCCTAAAAGAGCCTGGCTTGTTTAGCCTAGCAAAAGGCATGCTGAGAGGAGATCTAATTGCTCTCTATAAACACTTTAGGGGTAAACACCAGGGAGAGAGAGAAGCTATTTAAGCTAAAGGACAGTGTTGACACAAGAAAAAATGGGGATGAACTGGCCATGAATCAGTTTAGGCTGGAAATTAGAAGAAAGTTTCCTACCATTAGAGGAGGGAGGTTCTGGAGCAACCTCACAATAGCAGCAGTGGGGCAAACAACCTAACTACTTTTAAGATGGAGCTTGATAAGGTTATAAACAAGATGATCTCATGGGGTTGCCTGTGATAGCATGGGACTGGACTCAGTGACCCAGGAGGTCTCTTCCAGTCCCATGTTGTTACAGATGTAATTAGCTCTCCAATTTTAAGGCAATTGGGCAATAACTGACCTCGCTGAGAAGATACAGAGATATTAGAGCAGCTGATTTCCTGTCAATGGTCACGTCCCAACCTCCATCCAAAGAGGTTGAAAGTATTTCATTCTGAACTCTGGTTTTGATGCTCTCATAACTGAGGCATTAAATTGCTGTGTTTCAGCTCAGCTGAAAGTGAAGTCACTCAGAAAGCTTCAACAAGATGATTTTAAGTGAGCCTTGGAGTGTGCACGTGTCCCTTTTAGACAAATACTAGATGCTGTTTTCATTCTTATGGCTGTGCAGGCCCATTTTTCTTAAAATGTTTTTTGCTCCCCCAGTTGTCACGTGAAAGGATCCTGCTGGGGTCCAAAACAAGTCAACAGAACCTTGTGGTCCAGGTTACACAATGCTACTTATGATGTAAAAATCAGTGTGGACACCTTACCCTTGTCCATCACTAGTGCGAACACAGATATGAACACAACCTCCATCCCCTGCCCAAATTGAAAAGCAGAGGAGTGGGGTCAAAAAACCCATAGAATTCAGATCTAGTTGGACTTGTCCTCATTTCCATCTTCTAAAAAGAAAGGAAGTTCTAGCAGTGATAGCAATTGCCATAGTTGGTAGCTAATATCTAGAGATGGTTTACTGAGCAGGTTTATACTCTCAGCTTCTTCAGAGCTGCCCATCAACCCCTCTAAAAGGAAGACAGCTGTAAGGAGATTGTCAGAGTGTAATCTAGTCAGGGTGAAAAAATGAATTAAAGGTAGTTTTGGGTGCCATTCCTGCCAATCTTTATGACTTTATGACTTTCAAATCAGTTTTCTATATCTTAAAATGCTGTGCTTTGCTCCCTCCCCTCCCCCGTTGTGTGAAAGAGCCACACAAACTGAAGGGAAATGGACTCTACCCAAAGTGCTGGTATGTGCTCAGAATGCAGGTAGAGTACACAAACAGAGAAATGTTTGTCTCTGATGCTTCAGTGGCAGTAATCTTAGATATTACTGGCTGTTTCCAGAGCAGGGTGAATTTTTGTTTTAAATTGAAGGTGTCCCTTTAGCAATCCCCGTCAATAGCTTGTCTGATGTTCACTGCAGGGTATCATTTGTCCTTCAGTCATTCTGTAAAAAGTTTGGTATGAACTTTACAAGTTCTCCCCTGTGCCTTCACCAGCTGGGTGACTCTTAGGGGTGCAGCGTCAGTAGCGAGAGTGTAACTATCTTTCCAGAAGATACGGGACAGAATAGGAACTGATTCTTCATCCTGCTGAGGCCCCTTTACAACACTCTGGTGGCATAAAAGGGGCAGAATCAGACACTGGGAAGTAGTTCCCTCCATAAGGGGGTGTCCCCACTATTGCAGCCCTACACCTCTCCACTCCAACAGGCTGTAGACATATGGGACGGTGTCAACTCCAGAATATGGGGAGTGCAAAGCTGGCTAAAGCTACTTTCTCCCCCTGCCTCCCTCCCTGTTCCTGCACTCAGCTGTGGGGAATGAGGGACTTAGTGCATTCGCATTTCTAGATATGCTGGAGTAGAATGTGGCCTAAATGGTTGAAGAATTCTAAGATGTTTACATTAAATTCCTTTGAGTGTTTTTTTTAAGTATGTATTAACTCTAGAAGCCTAAAGGCCAATATCACACACTGTCTTACATTTTTATACTTATCAACATTTGTAATATTGTCAGAGCTTAAAAATAAAATGTCCCAGCCAAGGCTAACACTACTAGCTTAGCAAATAAAGCGCTTGTCTTTTATTGTTATTATATCAAACTGTCTGTACTGAGCTATCTTGATTATCACTTCAAAAGTTTTTTTTTTCCTCTTACTTAATTGGCCTCTCAGAGTTGGTAAGACAACTCCCACTTGTTCATGCTCTCTGTATGTGTGTATATAGATCTCCTCAATATATGTTTAACTCTATATGCATCCGAAGAAGTGGGTTGTAGTCCACGAAAGCTTATGCTCTAATAAATTTGTTAGTCTCTAAGGTGCCACAAGTACTCCTGTTCTTTTGTCTTTTATTGGAGCTTGAAATGCACCTAGTGTTCTTATTTACTTTATGGACTGTGTGTTGTACAATGTGTGACAGCTACAGCTCTGGGAGTGGGGTTTGTAAACCTCAAGCCCCCTCTGCTAGGTACATTTCTGTGTACTTCCTATATAAGCAATGTCCATTTCTCCAGCTGTATGTTAATGTTTTTAGTGTGTTGTATGTTAGCATGCTCCACCTTGTGGCCACCAGTTTTCAATATGGTCAGACTTCAGGGCTGATTAGGCTGAGAGTGGTCAAAACCACTTTGAACCATACTGAAATCTTTGAGAAATGTAACTTTTCACAAAGGCCTTGGCCTGGAAACAGCATGACCCTTCATATCTTAGTTCCTCTCTGCTTATCCACTGGCTCATCCCCCTGCCACCCATCCCCTTCACTCTGGCAACAATGGTAGGGTTACCATATTTCAGCAAGCAAAAAAGAGGACGGGAGGAGCCCCGCCCTAGCCCTGCCCCTGCCCCTCCCACTTCCCGCCCCCCTCAGAACCCCCAACCCTCCTCCCGTTCCTTGTCCCCTGACTGCCCCCTCCTGGGACCCCTGCCCCTAACTGCCCCCCAGGACTCCACCCCCTACCTAAGCCTCCCTGCCTCTTGTCCCCTGACTGCCCCCTCCTGAGACCCTCCCCCATCCTAACTGGCCCCCTAGGACCCTACCCCCTACCTGTACCCTGATTGCCCCAACCCTTATCCACACCCCCACCCCCAGACAGACCCCTGGGACTCCCACGCCCCATCCAACCACT